TTCAAACTTTTCCGTAATGTTATTGCACACTTAATAGACTACAGTATAATGTAAACATAACTGTGACATGCACTGGAAAACCAAAAAAATCTGTGTGCCTTGCTTTATTATGATATTTGTTGAGTTGATTGCAACACATAGTGACTTTACAAGACAGAGTAGGACTGCCTGGTAGAGTTTCCAAGGCTGAAAATCTTTATAGACGCAGACTGCCTCATCTTTTGCCTGTGGAACAGATGGTGAGTTTGAACCACCAATCTTTCTGTTTGTAGCCAAATGATTAAACAATTGCACCACCTTGGCTCCTGAAAACAAAAGGGATATCCCTACTGATGTCAACTGGATCTTGCCTGAAAGCAAAGAATACCACAGATGGTTACCTGTGTTTCTCTGATTATGTAAAGGCCATCTGATTGTGTGGAGCACAACAAATTATGGATAACACTGCAAAGAATGGGAATTCCAGAACAATTCAATTGTGTTCATGAGGAACCTGTATACAGACCAAGTGGAAGTCATTTGAAAAGAACAAGGGAATAGTGCACGGTTTAAAATCAGGAAAGGTATGTGTGAGGGTTGTATTCAACCTGTATGCTGAACATATAATCCAAGAAGCTGGACTATCTGAAGAAGTACGTGCATAAGAATGAGCAAGACTCATTAATAACCTGCAATATGCAGATGACACAACTTTGCTTGCTGAAGTAAAGAAGACTTGAAGCACTTACTGATGAAGATCAAAGAGTACAGCCTTCAGTATGGATTACGCTTCAACATAAAGAAAATAAAAATCCTTACCACTGGACCAACAAGCAACATTACGATAAATGGAGGAAAGACTGAAGTTGTGCAGGATTTCATTTACTTGTATCCATAACCAATGCTCATGGACAAAGCAGTCAAGAAATCAGAAGCACTAGACAGGGCAAATCTGCTGCAAAAGACCTCTTTCAAGTGTTAAAGAACAAAGATGTCACTTTGAAGGATAAAATGCATCTGACCTAAGTCACTGTCTTTTCAACAGCCTCATACACATGTGAAAGCTGGATGAATAAGTAAGACCACCAAAGAACTGACACCTTTGAATTACGTTATTGGTGAAGAATACCAAATATACCATTGACTGCCAGAATGAACAGATCTATCTTGGAAGAAGTACAGCTGGAATGTTCCTTAGACGTGACACTGGCCAAAGTTCACTTTCATACTTTGGTGATATAATCAGGAGGGGAGAAGGATATCATGCTTGGTAAAGTAAAAGATCTGGAAAGAAGAGGAAGACCTTCAAAGAGGTGGAATAACAACACAGTGGCTGTAACAATAGGCTCACGGATAGCAACGATTGTAAGGCTAGCACAGGACAAAGGAATATTTCGTTCTGTTGTATACAGGGGGTTACTATGAGTCAGGTATGACTTGACAACCCCTAACTACAACAATACATTCACAAAAGTACACATATGGAGTCCTTAGGGGTGTAAAGAGAGCTCTGGTGGCGTAGTACCTAAGGCACTTGACTGCTAACCAGAAGGCTGGCAGTTCAAACCCACCAGTCACTCCTCGGAAAGAAGGTTGGGCAATCTACTTCCATAGTGATACTGCCTCAGAAACCCAAGGAGGAAATGCTATGAGTTGGAGACGATGGCACGTAACAACAACAACTCAATAGGGGTGCAAAAAGTTAATTAACATGCTCAACTGCTAACCAAAAGGCTGGAAGTTTGAGTTCACCCAGAGGAACTTCAAAGAAAGGTCTGGCCACCTACTACTGAAAAGTCAGCCAGTGAACACTGGCTCTGACACACATGGGGTTGCCATGAGTCAGATCTGATCTGAGAGCTACTGGACAAACACACACACAGACATGGTTTTCTTTTGTTGAAATCACTCTCACCTTCACTGAAGTCACCACCTTGAACCATGAAATCCTTGACAACTCTGTGAAAAAGACAACTTTTATAATGTAATGGCTTCTGAGTTGATTTCCCTGTACCCTTTTCACCTGTAGAAAATAAAATTTAATAGGTTATTTAGTAGGAAGTAAATCAAGGAATTAGTATTAAAGCAAAAATATTAATGATGAAAAATTTTATCCTATGAAAAATACCTTCTTGAGCTATACATGCTTCTTCAAGCTAAAGAATTTTTACTCTTCTTAGGAATTTTTAAAAAATTCATTTACAAATCACCCTTGTTTTTATAGAGAGGGGATAAATCAATCTCAGATAAGATCCTGTTAGAACTTGCTAAAGAATAATGTAGCATCTGCAAAACACTGCATAACGTGGATGAACTTGGAGGAAATTATGCTGAGTGAAATAAGTCAATCACAAAAGGACAAATATTGTATTAGTCTGTTATTGTAAAAGTTAAAGAAAGGTTTATCTATTGGAGGAAATTTTCTTTGTTGGTTAC